AAGAAGAAGAAGAAGAAGAAGAAGAAGAAGAAGAAGAAGAAGAAGAAGAAGAAAAAGAAAAAGAAGAAGCAGTGGAGAGGATAAGTAGAAGGAAAGGGAAGGTTGGGAAGAACATGACATAAATAACACTCGGATCTCCAATATGGCCATTGACCACAGTAATCATTGATTTTCGAAGCATCCGGGCTCTGTTGGTTTCGGTCTCCGAGCACCTCTTTTTCCTTTTCACCCGGAGCTCGGAGGGGGACGAAATTGTTCACTTCCCATTGTCGCGCCGGCCGACACGGGGGGGCCAGCGGGAGGCCTAATAGTTTTGTAAATTAGCGTATCTCGCAAAACGAGTAGTGGCCCAAAATCAAGATAATAAACCTATCTGTCTTGAGACGCCCAAGAAAAGAAAAAGAAAGAGAGGCCCGAGCCGCGCTCTGGCACCAACATTATCCCCGCCAGCCCGCAACCGTTACCAACAACTTCTGACGTTGATGACAGTATTTTTCAAAAGCGCTAATGAATATTCACGAAGGCACCGCGGGCTTTTACGTCGACCTACGACCCCCATTGGTCCTAAACATCGCTTTATGGTAGAGGTCGCGCGCAAACGACGTAACCAAGGGACGGCGCAGTAAAACACCAGGGGACACCTGGTCTGATCTACCCGCGATCCACAGGCTAACGCTTACGTCATCTGTTACTCTCTCTCTCTCTCTCTCTCTCTCTCTCTCTCTCTCTCTCTCTCCCTCCCTCCCCCTCTCTCCGTAACCTTCCATCTCTCTCTCTCTCCCTCTCTCTCTCTCCCTCTCTCTCTTTCCATCCCAAATACCGCGCAACATAAAAATGAAAGAAGAAGCAAATAAATAATTAAACATATAAATAAACAAATAAATACATAAATAAAAGAATGAATGAAAGAATGAATGAATGAATGAATGAATGAAAAATAAACAAATCAACTAAACTAATTTCTAATTATCTGCCTTTGGTATTTCAAGCCACGACGAACCCACGACGTAAAACTGTTAGGTTTGTTTTTCAAATGAGGTGTTTTTACATTCCGAAACAGAGCGAAAGTAAAGAAGAACGACCTACCGGCAGCAACTTCCAACCGCCCGTAAAACACTTTGGGCACGCCGAACGCTGATACCAGTGAGCCGCCCCCGCTACATAATATATCCCTTTCAAGGTGCAAACTACCCTTTTAGATCGCACTTGGGCATCGGAATAGTTTGTCGTCACAACACGATAGAACGTAAATTATAACTAATGGCACTGAGGTTCGAAATGAAACCTTGAACTTGAAGTAAAGGCCTCAACAGACCAGAGGTGCAAAAGCGACATGAAGGTTCGTAGAAACGATGTCAACCTAATGTCATAACTACAGAAAAATAATACAGACAAACGAGCTAGCTTTGACCTAGGTAAACGATTTCACCTCCCTTTACTTAGACAAGTTTGTGGACGAGACACGCCACAGCTTCATTAACCAATAACTTCTGGCAAGCGAAAATTATATCTGTTGCCCAACGCGTTAACATCAATTCCGAGCTCGGCCTAGCCTCATTAGCCGCAGTCAGCAACACTGACACCCACAGGGTAATAGAAGCGATGCCACAGCCATTACCCCACGATGGACGCACTAATAACAATATTAGACACACAATAGGCAATTTCAAAGTAAGGGCGCGGGTTCTCGTAGCCTAGAGGTCAAGGTGTTCGCCTCTTATTCAATAGGCCCGGGTTCGAGCCCGGATAGCGACGGACATTTTTCTTCTCTAAGTTGTCCCCTTTCACCTCCTTTCCTGTTCTCCAGCAATGTTCTGTCGTCTGCTTTCGTCTCCAATCTCTGTCCCCACCCCCCACCCCCTCACCTCCTTTGCCCGCTCCTCTGGGCTTCTGACTCTTTCAACAGCCTTCCTACTGATTCTCCTTGGCTCCTTCTTACTGCTGTCTTTCAGCCACACTCCTGATCTTCTGGTAGGAAAGATCTACACCTAGCCTTCTCACGCAAGGGCAAAAAATCTCGGAGGTCCCGTATGCAAGTTGCGCACATTAAAGATCCCTTGGTGGTCTAAAATCGATAAGAGTAGGCTTCGGCGCCACCCGGGCAAAATTCAATTAACAAAAATTTTTTTAAAATGTTTAATGGGTCCCGCGCTCTCATCACCTTATGCAGTTGCGAGCGCCGTAAAGCGTTTACAAAAAAAAGTAAACAATAATAATTTTTAAAAAGTAAGGGCTCTTGCACCCAACATCTCTCTCCTGTGACGTCAGAACAACGGGCTTAGCGAAGGCGGAGATTTGGTCAAGTTCTAAACACCCGGACGTTGTGCTACTCTGCTTAAAAACCTCGCCTTGCAGAAGGTCATGCTAATCAGCAATGAGGCTGTGCTCATGAGCATGGTGCATATCAGATCAGTAAATGAGAGGAAAGGGGGAGCGGTGAGGTCCTGTATCGGTAAAAATATTAAGTTGCTTGACAAAAAGGAGGGGGAGTAGATATCTATCATGGACACTCTTGAAGCATAGAGGACAGAAACAGAAACTACTGCAGCCACCACCTGCCACCAGCAACAACCAAAAAATCTAAACAAGCTGGATACGGTCCACTACAAGTACTGGGGCTAAGAGAAAGAAATTGTTTAAATTTGTCTAGCGTGACTAAATTAACTTAAATACCAGAAACACGCGGACACCAAGCACTAGGAAAAAGCAAGTTAGATGGACAAAGAAAATAGACAAACTGTGAAGAAAAGTAGGAGCTACGACTGACGCACTACAACAACCCGCTTTGACAAAATAACTGAGAGAAAAAAAAGAGAATTTCAGCACATTTTCCTTCCCCTACTACGCTTTCCTTCAAAAGAAGAAGAAAAACAGAACACAGCTCTGGATTCCAGGTCCAGCCTTATGTGAAGCCATAGAAAAATAACTTTAAAAACTTGGACAAAGCAAGGTAAGGTTCCAAGTAGCTGGGTTTGTTTGTCTGTTTTTTTTTGTTTTTTTGGGGGGGGAGTTGGTTTTCAATTAAAAGCACGTCGACACAGTAATGGTCATTTGGCGCTGGGAATGAATGAATGAATGAATGAATGTATGAATGAATGAATGAATGAATGAATGAATGAATGAATGAATGAATGAATGAATAAATGAATGAATGTGGACGGATAAAAAAACAAAACAAAACAAAAACAAAAAAAAGAAAAAGAAAAAGTAAAATGAAACTCGAAAATCGACAAACAAAATACAAGAACAACAACAGAACAGCACCAAAAAAAAAAAAAAACCCAGCTGGGGGGAGGGAAGAGACCCCATCCCCAAAAGACCAAAACCGGACATAATACACGGCGTCCTACGTACCTGGTAGATGTGTCTCTCTGTGGTGGCGTCGATGACGTCACCGATGTTGGGGCAGAACACACTTCCCTCCACAAAGCCGGTGTTCTGACAGTACTCTCCCAGGGACTTGGTCGCCTCGTCCGGCCCGTGGACCAGGATCTGTCGCACGAAGAAAGAAATCAAACATTCGTTAGTATAAATACTGCCTTTCAGTTGTTCTTTTGTTTGTTTTATTGGATTTGTTTGTTTATTGGATTGGGTTTTTAAAGTTTTTTTTGGTAGTTTTTTTTTTTTTTTGGGGGGGGGGGAATGGTAGTATCGGTTTTATGGCACTTGCGTAGGTCATAACATAAGTGTCGACGATTAGAAGTGTTACTAAAGAGTATCAAACTAAGAGAGGAAGGAGAAGAGCAGAAACGGATGACAGATGCTTGATATGAAGAAAAAAAAGAGTAGACCACACGAGAGCGCCTGCCAACCGCCCCCGTAAACATTTTGAGTTCTTTTCAACACTGAAAGGTAGTCTAAGCGGGAGTGTCCATATAACTATAATGTCCATCTTCAATTAGACCAAACTAAACGAGTGGGGAGCCATGAAAATCCCCCAAACATCCCGTCCATCAACAATATAATTTGTTTGTTTAAGTAGGCGTTTTACGGCACTTTCAACTCAAACCATCAACAACACGCCACGGATTCGAACCGTGGTCCACTGCATCGAAGTTCTGAATGAAACCAATAGAGCTACATACAGAGCACCCAAGATGTCTGCGAGTTCGACGCCGTGTCCATGGCGCGTTACCATGGGTCCCATTAATTAACTCGACTTGATAGTAATGGCTGAGCAATGTTTAGCTGGTTTGCAGGTTCTAAATTAATTGTAAAAGGCTTTAAACACCATTCTAAATAATTTAAATCAGTTGGGAGGTGGGCTGCTTCGATCATGCCTGCCAGGGCCAACCCGGTCTCAGTAGGCCACAGCACCCTTGTAGACAGACGGAAATACAATGTACCCGAAAATGAATTTTACAAATCAAATTTGAATAAATAAATAAATAAATAAATAAATAAATAAATAAATAAATAAATAAATAAATATATATAAATGGATGAATAAATAAATTTAAAAATATTTTAAAAATCCAGCACCTTCTTAACGTGAGGATCGAACCAATGTCAATGTCAGTCATCTGGAGGCAATGGCGAAACGCCAAACTATGACATTACAGACATTAAGTATTTTAGAGGAAGCGGGCTGTTTCAAGACTTTCCAAAAGGACCAGCCCTGACAACATGAGGCAAATCGTTACGGGAAAACCCAGACACTGAGGGAAATAATAATATCTACTTGACGTGGGCACGTCCGACAACAGCAGCATTTTTTTGGCTCTTCCATTTAGCCAGAACCACGGAGTTGTCCATAAAATTGACAAAACGTCAGTCCCACACAAACGAAGAAATCTTGGGACAGAGACGACTTTTTGTGCCTGACTTTTATTTTTTGGTGAGAGGCAGAAAGGAAGAAAAAATATGGATGGAAAAGTTCAAAAGAGATGTCCAAACTGAGCAGAAGACACAGTGAAATAAGAAACAAAATGTAACTGCGTACAAAAACAAAACAAAATTAAAAAAAAAAAAACTAAAGAAAAAAAACTTCTTTGAAAGCTCCCCCTCGATCAAAAACAAAGTACAAACTCTATTGTGGGGAAAACGTTTATTCTAAAGCGGGACTTTTCCCTTGTCCAGGATCACCGGGAGATTACTAGGTTTACCACAGTCATGCTAGATAAGGTGGCGTTCGCCATTGCAATCTTTCGGCACTGATGGAGATTCCATTCTGCTTTTGCCGTCGACCCTTTGGGAGATATTGAGAGGGGGAGGGGGAAGGGGTGGGACCCTGGGAAGGGATTCTTATTGTGGTGAAGGAAGTTGGGTCTGGGGAAAGGGGGGGGGGGGATCATAGTGGCCAGAACAGAAATTTTTTTCCCAATGACAGATTTGCTCTCAGCCGATTTCAGCAAAGTGCAAAGAGGGGAGAAGGAAACAAATAAAAAACAAAACAAAATCCTACCCAAAATAAAATTTGGATAAGGGAGTGTTTCTGTGATGGAAACACGTAATTAAGGACAGAAAAGGCCGTCTGAGAAAGCTGTACTTTTAAGTTCTGTACTACCAAAGATCTATTTGCCATTGTATGGGGTCTTGTCTGTCCTTACTTCAAAGCCGTTGCTAAGATTTGAAGTAGGTCTTACACGGGCGGTCGAATACTCTTAACATTTTCTTTTAAAGATAAACGAATAAAAGAGGCGGGGAGGAATACATACGGAAGGAAAGAGAGGGGGGATGGGGAGGGAAGAAAACAAGGATATTTAGTTCTTAGAGAGTGTTTTACGGCACTTTCAACACAGTCAGGTCAAAAACATGGAAGGGATGACCAAGAAAGGGGTGGAAGGAAAGAGGGGGATGAAGA